GAAAAAGCCAGCCTGACCCCAAAGCCTATTCTCTTTTTTATGTATCACACTAGTATATTGGTTTTATTTTTTTTGATACATTAACAATGATCATAATTTTAAGTGGTTTAACAGAATTTCACTAAGTATTAAATACTGATTTTATTTTAGATTTTTTTTCCAAAGGCTGTAGAAACCAGTTGATCTATACTGTTTTAAATGCTGTGATAAATATGCTTTGCTGTAAATTTCAATTTCTTAATAAATTAAAAGAAGACTTTGCATTTGTAGATAGCCGAAAGAATTGGGGATAGAAAATCTCTCACAGCATTTAACATTTTTATGAACACAGAATTCACAGAAACTGTAAACCATGTGATAAGTGTACATTCGTTTTTATATTTCGATATTTGTTATCCCTACCAAAGGTTACCCTCAACCAACCCAATCGCCTTTATAGTCTGCCTTTTTAAAAACCAAGGGGCCACTGCAATAAAGGAATGTGAAAAGCAATAAACCTGTCATAAGAGAGTATTGTGACCAGTAATCAAACTGACTTGAAGGCAACTTTATTAGCTTTTAAATTATGTAACGATCAAAGATGAATATCCCAAAGTCTTCCAAGACTGAAACGAGAACCATGTTACTGTGTGTACTGTCACCTTTACAGTGTGCACCATAACTCTAGTAGTTTGAGAATTACGTGAACTATTTTAAGGGCTATGTCATGGTATCCAGAAGGAATTCTAATTTTCAGTACTTTCAAATTAATTTTCTTTGTCATAGGTGGTTTTATTCTCACATAGCTATAAAGAAATACCTGAGACTGGGCAATTTATAAGAGGGTTAGTTGTTCAGGGTACCGCAGGCTGTACAGGAAGCATGGTGGCCTCTGCTTCTGGAAAGACCTCAAGGAGCAGACTCAAGGCAGAAGGCAAAGTGGGAGCAGGTAGTTCACATGCCAAAATCAGAAGCAAGAGACAGCGAGTGGGGAGATGATACACACTTTTAAACAACCACACCTTGAGAGAACTCACTGTTGCAAGAATAGCACCAAGGCGGTGATGCTAAACCATTCAAGAGAAATCCACACCCATGATCCAATCACTCCCACCAGGGCCTGCTTCCAACATTGGGATTACATTATGACATGAGATTTGGGTGGGAACAACAACAAACTATATCAGTGATCTGAAGATCTAAATTCTTCAGAGAGTGAGCAATTTGGTAATTTTTTTTGATGCGGTGATCTGAAGATCTAAATTCTTCAGAGAGTGAGCAATTTGGTAATTTTTTTTGATAGCAGTAACATCAGCAGAGGTTAGACACATTTAGAATGCCGAGGATGTACTGCAGAGAGATTTTACTCAACAGTCCCTCACAGTCAGCTTGCATTTACCAAGGAGCTATTGGCTGTAGAAGTACTCTTTTTTTGTTTTGTTTTTTCCAATTAGTTTTAGAGATTGCCGCTGGATCTGCTCAAGGCCCACTTCTATTCCTGATGCCATATAAGCGGAAACATTTTGTGACTATTGTTTACCAAATGAAAAATGAAGAGTAAACATAAGAATCCAAGTCTAGCCAATGATATTGTGGCTCTCTCTAGTCCCATTTTCCCTTGTTTGTCTGTATTCTATGCTTCATCCAACCTAGACAGACTCTTCTTAAAAACGTCCTTCATTTTCCTCCCTCTACAGTTTTTCTTCTACCTGTTCCACTTCCCTTTTCGCTTGCAAAGTCCACAGTCAACTTCTTTAGGACCCATCAGAAATGCTTAATCCTTAATGAAAACTTTTCTGATCTCTCAAATGGGATGAGATTTCTCTATCCTAAATACTCATTACCTCTTTCTTTATATTTCATTGTACTAGATTCAACTTCATTCTATTACAGTTAACTGTAAATATTTATCATCTCTAAGAAATCATAAAAGAAAAAAACTTCTTGAGGGTAGGAATGGCTTAATCAATTTAGAACCAGTAGAATGTTACAAAAAATATGTAGCATGTGGGAAAGATTATGGGAGATACGAAGGCCAGGTGAAGGAATTTAAACTGTCTTATGGGCAATAGACAATAATTCTTGAACAGAAAAAGTGACATATGAAAAAAATGCTACAGGAAAATTACTGATTACTGTATTTACTGTAGAGGGACGCTACAGGGAAACAGAAAGGTTGTCTTGGAGGCTGCAGAAGAACAGTACATTGGAAAATTAGTGTGGCAGAGGACACAACACCCCTTTAAAAAAGAAAAGTAAAGAAACTGGAGAGTTCAATGATGCTGAAATAGGAGGATCATGAAAACAGATTAAAGGAAGCAGGGAGGAAATAATGACCTGAAGAACAGATGCTGGAATGATAATAGGCAAAAGTAAAACCAGAAGTTCTTTACTTTTATAGCCATCTTCTGCTTTACTTTTTAGGGAAGCTTGAAAATATACTCTGCTTTGCTTATTCCAGTTAACAACTAATACTAGCTACGTTTCTCAAAGTGAGCATCCAGATGGCTCAGGTATTTTAAGATACTGATAATGTCAAAATAAGTTTTCTAGAAATAAAAATCATCTGACTTAACTTTTGCACTGCAAAAATTAATTTAACAAATACTGAACAGTTGATCTGCTGGCACTGTTCTAGCATTAGGGTATATAACAAAGGAGTGCTTGTTCTCATGCAGCTTGTGCTCTATCTAGATGTAGATGATAACACATGCAGTGAGACTAGACATCCTGGTTTGTCCAGGATTGAGGGGTTTCCTGGGATGCAGGACTTCCAGTGCTAGGCCTGGGAAACCAGCGGCAAACAACAAATGCTAGTGGTAGTCGATCTCCCAATGATCTCCTCAAACCACCCTGCCCCTCACTTCCTGGCATTCATACCCTTATGTAAACCCTTCTCACATTAAATAGGGCTGACCTGTATAAGTAACAACACATTGTGGAAACGACTGTGTGTGACTTCCAAGGCTAGCTCATGAAAGAAATTCATGACCATGAATTTCATGTGGCTCTCTGCTGCACTCAAGCAGCCCTATGGAGAGGCCCACATCTCAAGGAACCAAAACCTCTTGCTATCAGTTTATGTAAATGAACCATCTTTAAGGGAGATTTCCCATTCACAGTCAAATACAGTCAGACTTTCAGATGACTTTAGCCTTGGACATCATGTTCACTGCAACCTCTTATGAGATCTTAGAACCACACAGCTAAGCTACTCAAATGCCTGACATACAGAAACTGAAATAAAGCTGGATGCTAAATTTGGGGGTGATTTAATTCAGAGTAGTAGATAACAACACACTGCTAGAGAAAAGTTATGCCTGGTAAGGAAATTAGGAAGGTAGGCACTATTTTGGATAAGAGGGTTTGGATAAGCCTCTCTTACAAAGGCATTTGGGCAGAGATCCAAAAAGTAAGGGAGCAAGCTAGTCAAAAGATGTTTCCAGGAGAAGAGTAATGGGTTTCTGACTTACTACCAACCAAAGATGCTTGTTAGAACATCAAATGTGTCATTGCGCCTAAAGCAGGCTGAGCAGGGTAGAGAAGGGGATGTGACAGGACATCAGAGGTAGAGGTAGAGCCCCACAGAATAAAAAGTAAGGTGTTTAAATTTTGTTGAGTCAAGGGAAGCCACTGGAAGGTTTTGAGCAAAAAGACCAGCACGACTTGACCCATATTTTTTGAAACGCCATCTTCTTTTGGTGTGCAATTGGCGGCTTGGATTCTGAGCACGCAACATTCGATTCTGTAACAAGGCTGATTGGATGAAATCTATGACCTCCCAAATCATTTGAAGTTCATTTCCTTTTCCTTTCTCCTCTCCTCTTTCCTTTCCTTTTCTTCTCTCTTTTTCTCTTGAGACGGAGTCTTGCTGTGTTGCCCAGGCTGGAGTGCAGTGGTGCGATCGCGGCTCACCACAACCTCGCTTCCTGGGTTCAAACAATTCTCCTGCCTTAGCTGGAAGAGTGGCTGGGCTTACCGGGGCGCGCCACTGCGCCGGACTAAATTTTTTTTTTTTTTTAAGTGGAGACGGGTTTCGCTGTGTTGGCCAGGCTGGTCTTGAATTCCTGACCTCAGGTGATCCGCCCGCCTTGGCCTCCGAAAGTGCTGGGATTATAGGCGTGAACCACCGCTCTCGACATGAAGTTCAAGTATTCCACAGAACTTTGCTGTCCGATGTACATGAGGCTACACAACCACTGGGCGCCTGACACGGGGCTAATCCAAATTGAGATGGGTTATTAACTCCAAAACACACACGGGATTTCCAAGACTTAGAACCAACGACAGAGCGTAAACGATCTCATTAATTGTTTTAGACTGATTACAGGCTGAAATGATAGGATGGGATAAATTAAATATATCATCAAAAGCAGTTTCACCGATTTCTCTTTACTCTTTAAAAAACGTGGCTACTCTTAGAATTACCTACGTGGCTTGGGCTGTTTGTCTACAGAGAGCCCCTCTCCGCACTCTGGGCACTCAAGTTCCGCCCGTGTCTTCCGCCAAAGGGGCCGCCTTAGAAAGGCGGAGCTCCGGCCTGGCCTCTCGGGTTTCCTGGGGAAGCGGTCCAACCATCGGCTAGGGTTCCGAGGTCCGCCCCGAGGGGTGAGGTGCAGCTCGGGGTGAGGAGCAGCCCTCGCCATCGCGACATCCATTCCTCAGGCTGCGCGGGCGAAGCGCGTTCTCCTCGGAGAAACCGCGACCCTCGCGTTTCCGACCCGACCATTCATAATCGCTGGCTTCCTAGGGCCGGGGAGCAGCCTCGGGCGACCCACTCCCCCATTCTCGCGTAGCAGTCTCCATGCCCTGCGGCGCAGCCTCCAGAGAAGGCAACTGGGAGGGCACGACCTCCCTCAATCAACACCCACCTCGGCTGACTGGGCGGGACCAAGTCTCGTTCAGCCACTGGGTTCTCTCGCCTTCCCGGGCCTCACCGCGGCGGGGGCGTGGCCACAGCCTGAGAGGCGGGTTTCCTGTGCCGCTGAAAATAACTTCCGACGTGTGCCGGAAGTTTCCTCAGTGACAATCAGGGAGTCGGCTAGTTCAGTAGCTCTTCGTAGCCGCTGAGGCGGGTTAAGGTCTGAGGCTCTTGTGAGGCCAGGGCGCTGATCACTAGGTGTTTGGCTTGGTCTGCTCTTATTTCTCGCCTGGCAATGGCGACGTACACCTGCATAACTTGCCGGGTGGCGTTCTGCGACGCGGACATGCAGCGGGCCCACTATAAGACAGATTGGCACCGCTACAACCTGCGGCGGAAGGTGGCCAGCATGGCCCCGGTGACCGCCGAAGGCTTCCAGGAGCGAGTGCGGGCGCAGCGGGCCGTTGCCGAGGAGGAGAGCAAGGGCTCGGCCACCTACTGCACCGTTTGCAGTAAGAAGTTTGCCTCTTTCAACGCCTACCAGAACCACCTCAAGTCCCGGCGGCACGTTGAGCTGGAGAAAAAGGCCGTGCAGGCCGTGAATCGGAAAGTGGAGATGATGAATGAAAAGAACTTGGAGAAAGGACTGGGCGTGGACGGTGTGGACAAGGATGCCATGAACGCGGCCATCCAGCAGGCCATCAAGGCGCAGCCGTCCCTGTCTCCCAAGAAGGCGCCCCCAGCGCCTGCAAAGGCCGCGAGTGACGTGGCCGTGGATACTGGTGGCCGTAGGACCCACAACCGAGACCCGAGCGAGAAACCGCCCCGGCTCCAGTGGTTTGAACAGCAGGCGAAGAAGTTGGCAAAGCAGCAGGAGGAGGACAGTGAGGAGGAAGAAGGGGACCTGGATGAAAACGGTGATGGCTCTGGCTGGGCGGGGAGCGGGGAGAGAAAGGGAGAGGAACTTGGCCCCCTTAAGTTTCCAGATTTATACTCGAGATGGGGGTATGTGTGTGTGAGTGTGAGGGAGAGAGAGAGCGAGAGCGCGCTTTTAAGTAAAATGATGAGCGCCGCTTGTTCAGACGCTTTCTGAAGCGCTTTATCTGGCCAGCAGTTTTGGCTGTTGAGTTCACTGTTGTAGAATCAGGGCCTAAAACCTTGTCTGGAAAAAGAAGTGCCTAATACATATTTAGAGAATGAATTGATGCCTTCTTTGTTTTGGACGGGGAGGCTTTTAGCATATGCACAGGAGGACATGTTATCGTCAGTAAGCTGCCGTGTAATTTGCGATTCTAGTGGGTTTCCAGTCATGATGGTTTTGCGCTTAACTTAGTTGAGTAAAACAGAATGAAGGGATCAAAATCAACTCAGCCAGAAATGTGGAGCTGGAGCCAGCAGCCTCGCCTCTTTGACTTTATGAGCTATTTATTCCTTCCTTCCCTAATCCCACATCCTATTAACAGTGCTGGTGCATGTGTTTATGTCTTAGTCAGTCTGTTCATTCTGCTCTAATGAAGTACCAGAGACTGGGTAATTTATGAACATCAATGTATTTTCCCATAGTTCTGGAAGTTGGGAAGCCCAAAATCAAGGTGCTGGCAGAGTCAGTGTCTTGCGAGGGCTTGTTCCAGAGATGAAGTTTTCTCATGGTATCATGTGGTGGAAGAAGCAGAAGGCAAAAAAGGGGCTAGCCAGTTTCCTCCGCACTAATCCATTCATTGGGGATTAGTGCTCACCTAACCTAATCACCTCCTAAAGGCCCCACCTCTTAATGCTATTTCATTGATGATTAAGTTTCAACATTTGAATTTTGGAGGGAAACATGCATTCAAACCATAGCTGTTCATAGAGCACCCCACCAGCACATACACACACCCCATAGTACTTTTGTGAAATAGCAGATAGAGGCGTTGTTTTAGCAGTTTATACAAATAGCCAGATAAGAGACTTGCTAACTATATGTTCAGCACTGGGCTAGGTGCTGTAAGGCATAGGAAAGAAGCAAAAGACTCCTGTTACCTGGAAAAGAAAGACTAAGGAATTTCATAGCCATACAGATGAGTCTGTGGTAGACGAATAGCTAAAATTGAAATCTTGAAAGAGGAGTTGTCCCTGAGAGTTGGGGATGGGGCTGCTTACCCAAATATAGGACTGTATCACCTCGTGAATTTTTGTGATATCTTTGCTTGTTAACACTTTTCTTAAACTTTGTTTTTCAAAATTCTGGTTTGCAGATTGGGAAGATATTGATTCTGATGAAGAAATGGAATGTGAGGATACCGAAGCAATGGACGATGTGGCGGAGCAGGATGCAGAGGAGGAAGAGGCTGGGGAAAAACCACCCCTTGGTGCCATCCCTATTACAGACTGCTTATTTTGTTTACATCATTCCAGCTCGCTCATGAAGAATGTGGCTCATATGACCAAAGTCCACAGTTTCTTTATTCCTGACATAGAATATCTTTCAGATATTAAGGGACTGATTACATACTTGGGTAAGTACAATGTTTTCCTTTTAATGAGGAAATATCACATTATTGGGGGACTGGTCTCAAGGGAACGTTAGTTTTGTGTTTTTCATCAATCTTTGATATAATTACTTGCTTATTTTATGAATGATTTTTGAATTGTGACAAATAATGAGATTTAATCTGGTTGCTAAAAGCTTTTCTCATATTTTTTCCTTACATTATTTTTTAGGAGAGAAAGTTGGTGTTGGAAAGATTTGCTTGTGGTGCAATGAGAATGGGAAGTCCTTCTACTCCACAGAAGCTGTACAGGCGCACATGAATGACAAAAGCCACTGTAAGCTCTTCACAGATGGCGATGCTGCTTTGGAATTTGCAGACTTCTATGATTTTAGGTAAGCATAGTTTGTAATATGAAGTGAAGTGAGGTCGTATTTACTTTGAAGTGATATTAGGTGTGCCAGGGCTGGATATGTGTTTGGCACTGTACAACATATTCTTATAATAACCCTTATAACACCTCTGTATTAGGTAGTTCTTTCCTTGTAGTTGAGAAACTCAGTTTAACAGAGTTTAACACATATAGTAAAGAGAAGATCTTAGACCCAAACTGAAGTTTGACTTGTTTTTGTTCTGGTTAAATCATCAAGAATTCAGTTTTGCCAGTTACCCCTTAAATAGAGGTACAGAAATTAGGTTTCACATGTTGGGTTCCCGGAGAGTCCTTGAATCACCAGCTGTCTTCTGAGGGAGTTGAGAGGGTTGCTAAACCTGGCCAAAACCAGGCATCTGATGGTGAGATTATCCCATTGGTGGTTCTTGCTGTCACCCAGGCTGGAGGGCAGTGACACGATCATGGCCTACTGCAGCCTCAACTTCCCTGGGCTCAGGCGATCCTCCCACCACAGCCTCCCCAGCAGCTAGTGTTCACCATGATGCCTGGCTAATTTTTGTATTTTTTGTAGAGATGGTGTTTTGCCATGTTACCCAGGCTGGTCTTGAACTCCTGGCCTCAAGTGATCCACCCACCTCAGCCTCCCAAAGTGCTGGGATTACAGGTGTGAGATACCTTGCCTTGCCCTAACTAGGATCTTGAATAATTTATATGTCATTTAACAAATGTATGTTAAGTACTTGTGAACAACTAGTTGTCAAAATTCCTGTTACCTAGCACAGGAGATAAGCAGATGTATATAATTACCATGCTAGGCATGCATAGTCCAAGTGATAAAATGTTCAGTAAAGTCTCAGTCTTGTAAGTCTTCTTTTGCATTTTCTTTCTGAGTTTTTGCAGCTGGAGACTTGCAGTTGGTGGACATGACAGGGTGGAGGTAGAGGGGAGGGTCAGAGGTTGTGGCAGTGGAGAAGACAATGACTGTCTGCTGGTGGTGGGAAGCATCCTCTTTCAGGCAAAGGACAGTATTCATCCCTCTCAAGTTTCCTTTTAGACAGCAGTGTTTATGACCTTTTGACTGATGTTGTAATCAGAGTGGTCAAGGCAAATACCACGGATAGAGTCAAGTGGCTGCCATCAGCAGCAGGCTTGGAATGCCCAGCATTCAGTCTCTCATCCTGCGGCGATATTCAGGATCCTGCCTAGTCTCGTAGATTTCAATATCTTCTGTAGGCCCATGACCCCCCCACACTTATATCTCTAATGTAGCCTTACCCTTAGCTACAGACTGAAAATATCCAGCTGCCTCTTTGATATTCCTGCTTATGTTCAAAAGGGATCATTAACTTCACCTGTCTGAAATCAACTCCTGCCAAGCATCCTAATCTGCTCTCCCTCTAGTTACTTAAGCCAAATGCCATGCAGTCTTCCTTTATTCTGTTTTCTTTCATGCTTACACTAGAATCTATCACCATATCCTGCTTTATCTACCTTTGCACTATCTATTTTCAGATCTGCTGCTTCTCACTAATTGTACTGCTACTACCCAAGTCCAGGGCGCCATCATCTTTCACCTGACTTCCTACAGTAGTCTCCTGCTGCCTGCTCTCCATACTTACATTCTTCCTACCCCCTACATTCTGTTCTCAAAACTGAAACTGTAGGGGGATCCTTTTAAAACATTAAGTCAGGTCAAACTCTGCTCAGATTCTTTCAAAGACTACCTGTCTTATTCAAAGAAAAAGCCAAAGTATACCGGCCTGCAGGGCCCTGCACGTGATCTGGAGCATCTGTGGTTCTTTTGTTTTGTATGACTTGCTCTCTGGATTCCTAACTCTTCCTCTAATGCATTAAGTGTGTTTCTCAGGACCTTTGCATTTGCTAATGTATTTGTCTGTAGTATTCACTCAGATATTCACGTGACTTGTCCCTCACTTCTTGAAGGCATTGACACAAATTTCACCTTCTTAGTGTGGCCTTTTTTGACCACCTTCCATAAAATAACACCTGCCCAATCCTTTTTATCCTGTTTTATTTTTCCTTATAGCCCGTACTGTCATTATATATATTATATATTATTTGTTTATTGTCTCCTCCTTCTAGAATCTAAGCTTCAAGCCCTAGCCTTTTGTTGTTACTGTTGTTGTTTATTGGGTGTTGCTCTGTTAGTTTGAATTAAAATATGTAACTGATGGAAATGGTTCTCCCTGAGTCCAAATGATGCATTTTTCATTTCATGTACAGTTTTATTCTATTGGTGCCTAGAAATGAGAAATCATGTGAGCTTTTCTTCCTAAAAATGAATATTAAAATGATTTGTTTTCCTTAAAAAAATAAAAGCCAAGTGTGGTGGTGTGAGACTGTAGTCCCATCTGCTCAGGAGGCTGAGGTAAGAGGATCACTAGAGACCAGGAGTTTCAGGCCAGCATAGGTGACATAGTGAGACCCTGTCTGTAGGAAAAACATAATAATAATAAGTTGACAATGTTTAATAAAGGAAACTTGGAAAACAGAAAGGCCTCACTTATAAAGCTAGCTTTTATGGATTGCTTACTTGCCAGGCACTGTTCTAATAAGCAGCTTATGTGGATTCACTCAGCTAAAAAATGACAAATTACCTATAATTTCACTCTCCTTCACAAGGTAACTTATTTACTTATTTTGGACCTGAAACTTTTTATTGAAGAATAAACTTACAGAAAAGTGCCTATATGTATACAGCTGTAGTTACAAATTCTCCATCCGTGGATCCAAACTATAGTATTAGAAAAAAATTTTGTGTTTACTGAACACGCACAGACTTATTTTTCTTGTCATTATTCCCTAAACAGTGATGTGTAACAACTATCTACATAGCATTTACATTGTATTAGGTATTATAAGTAATATAGAGATGATTTAAAGCATATAGGAGAATGTGCTTAGATTATATGCAAATATTACACCATTTTATATCAGGGACTCGAACGTCTGCAAATTTTAGTATCCTAGGGAGGTCCTGGAACCAATTCCGTGTGGATACCAAGGGATGACAGTACTGTAATATCATGATTCAGTTTAGTAAAATTTTAAATGTTACTAGCACGTAGATCAAGAAACAGCATCTTAATAATACCCTGACATTCCCCTTGCGCGTCCTTCCCAGAACTACCCCTCCTTTCACCAAGAGTAACCACTATTCTGACTTATAACTGCATAGATCGGTTTTGCCTGTTTTTGTACTTTATATAAATGGAAGGTACTCTTGGGTCTGGCTTCTTTTGTTCAACTTTGTGTTTGGGAGACCCATTCATACTATTTTATATAACTGTAGATAGTTGATTCTTATTGTTATAGAGTATTCTGTTCATTGCTCCACAACATCTAGTCTACTGTTGATATACATTTTAGTGGTTTCTAATCTAGGGCTATTACAAACAATGCTGCCACATCATTCTGATGTGTGCTTTTGGCAAATGTTTATATGTTATCTGTTGTGTGCTTATGTAGGAGTTGGGCCAGAGGATATACATATGTTCAATTTTAGAAAATACTGTCAAATTGTTTTCCAAAGTGGTTCTCTATACTCCCACTTGCAGTGAGGGAGAGTTTTTCATTTTAGCAACTTTGGTGGGTGTATAGTGGCTTTAATTTGCATCTCCCTGATGATGATTAATGCAATCAAGAGCCTTTTTGTGTATTCATAGACCATCTGGATATCTTTTTGTGAGGTATCTGATCAAGTATTTTGTCTATTTTCTTATTAGATTGTCTGGTTTACTGTTAATAATTTAATGTGCACTTTTCCAATTATTTTTCATGTGTATCTATGAATAGAATTTATTAGCATTTTTAGGAATATAGAGATTTTTCTGGAACTGCACTGTCCAATATAGTAATTACTAGGTATACTCATATAGCTATTTAAATAAATTAAAAGTTTAATTAAAAATATAAAAATTCAGTTCTTCAGTCAGACTACCTGCATTTCAAAGTTCAGTGCTTGAAAGCGCATGTGACTGGAGTTACTGTATCAGACACAGTATTGATAGAAATCAGACACAGTATTGATAGTTTTATCTATCTACTGATAGAACGTTTTCTGTCATCATAGAGTTCTGTTGGACAGCACTGTTCTAGAACTTGTTTTTATAAGGTTAAATTGAGTATCGCTGCATGTCCAGCTGTACGTTCTCCTTCTCTTCCTCTCCATCAGGCAGCCTTTCTAGGGAAAAACAAATAGAATTCTGTTATAGGTCATTTGCTCACTTCTACTAAGATAAAATGCTAACAAGTTGTTTTCTTCCCAAACCTTTTAGCCGATAGTCCCTATAGCTGCTTCTTTTCTCTCCCTTTTAGGTAGCTTAGGAAGTTTGCCACATTTGCAAATGAAGTTTATGTCTTTTAGTTCAAGTTGAGATGTTAGTCTCTTTATTAGTGTGATTTCTCTGTTATAGGAGTAGCTACCCAGATCACAAGGAAGGGGAGGACCCTAATGAGGCTGAGGAGTTACCTTCAGAAAAGAACTTGGAATATGATGATGAAACCATGGAATTGATTCTGCCTTCTGGTAAGTGCATTTGTCAAAAATAAATAGCTTAATGCCAGTGGGGTAGAGGGAGCAGCATATCTCCATCGATTACTTTCCATACTGAGGGAAATAGATCATAAAGCTTAAAGTTTATGTTTGGGTTCTCATGTATGGTGTAAATCCTGAAGGTTGCTGCTCAGCTCTAAGTTGGCTGTTTGTTTAAATTTGATTAGTGTTTCTGTTCACTTCTGGGTTATGACTCAGAATGTTTGATCAGGCATTTTTTTTTTTTTTTAATTTTTTTTTTTTTTTTTTTTTTTTTTTTTTTTTTTTTTTTTTTTTTTGGTTCTGTCTAGATTTCTCATGTTAATTGTAACCTTACTGTTATTCTTTGAACTGATTCCTGTTTCCTTTTGTTGCTCAGACTTCCAAATGGTAGTTTGGTGTGGGTGTATATGACTCATGGTGGATATTTATCCACCACGAGGTATGAAAAGATGAAGAATAACCATGAATGTGAGCAGCATACATGGTTGTTGATTGTGTAGGAAGAAAGAATCGTGATTAACTGATAAGAATAGGAGAAACTACAGAGGACATGTTTGAGAAGTGAAAGGGGACGGTAAAGTAGAGAAGAGAATGAGATCTTAATGCCTGGTATTTGCTGAGCAGTTAGCGCATTCAGGGAAATGTATTTATCTTTACAGGCCAACATGAGTTAGATTCCAACCTCTTCATTTTACATATGAAGCTTGGAAAGGTTGAGTAACTTATCAAGATCTCACACACACAATCAGTAAGGCCTTTTTCCAATATCCCTACACTGCCTCGGGAAATTTGCAGTAATGGTGCAGGCAGGAACAATGCAGCCTGCTGGTGGAGATACTGCAGTGAAACAACCTTGTCTTAGGGCTTTCCACATAGAGTGTAACTTCTTAGGTACAGATGGCAATCTTTAGCTCAGAATGATAACCTTGTAAGGCCCAGAGCAGTGTTAGAGTGTGGCAGCAGAAGGAAAGGTCAGGCAGAACCAGTTTTGAAGATGACAGTTCTTCCTACAGTGATAAGAAAGTTATGATGCAATATATTATTATGGCCTAATACCCAGTGGTAAAACCTAAATCCCAGAAAACCTTTTCTGGTCTTTCTCTGGTGATGGTAACCATATAGAACATCAGAAATATGTTTAATAACTTATTTTCTAGGACTGTGTGTTTAACTTGTTGTCTGCCTAGCTTCTGCTTCTGAAATGGTGGCATCAGATAATATCAGACCTTAAGGAAATTGAAGAAGATAATCCTAGTGCAGCGGTATCTGCCTATGTGTAGTAGGCTCACCATAGTGTTGGCTTCATTTTGCATCTACTTTAGCACAGAACTTAGCACAACAATGAACATATCTATTTAAGAAATCTAGAGTGTTTAAGAGAAGTTTTCATCTGGACTTTAAATTTTTGAAACTTATAAAAAATAAAGAATACTCAGCTTTGTCCTGGGTGATTGAGTTTTTTAAGGTTGGCCACAGCCAAAAATGGGTATCTGCCAGAGCCAAACCCATTTTTGTCTTTGGCCAGCCTTAGAAAGATCTTAGAGCAATCTTCCTCTCCCACATCCAGATGACTTAGCAACTCCTAAATGTCTTTTGAAAAATTTTTTATATTCATATGTCTGTGTCACCATTACAGCTTTCTGTCTGATCATCTCTAATCTGGTTTCCACATGACCACCAAAACATTCTTTCTAAAACACCAGTATATTTTCTTAACCGTCTGTATTTCCTCCACTGGAGCCATTGCCTTGAGGAACGCTGAGTTTCTCTTACACCTGGTCCCTCAGGTATATAGTGCTATTCCTCTGCCCACCCACATGGAGTTTTCTTCCTCTGGGTGTTTGCATGTGGGGTGCCTCTATTATTCCTACTTTTCTTGTAAGACTCAACTTCCTTAGATTCAACTCTCTGGGAAGCCTTCCTGAACTCAGCTCCTGTTCATTTACTGGGTAATAAGTCTCCCCTGCTGCTGGGACACTGAATGTAGTTACTCAGATTGGACTTAAGTAGCATCAAGTAGGCAATCTTAAAGCCAATGACAAAAAGTATCCACTAGAGGGCACCATGAGCATTTATTTTGAAGATTATGGTCCAGTGTGGTGTTTTGGGTGTCCTTCATTACTCTTCAACTCATATGGAGTAAGTTAGCATGAAAGGCCCATTCAATTGGGTACCATAAATTGTAAGGCCATTTGTTAAGAAGGAGCAGACATTAGCCTGCTGTGATGGTGTGTTCCTGTAGTTCCAGTTAAGGCAGGTGGATCACTTGAGCCCAGGAAGTCAAGAGTCAAGGTGGCAGTGAGTCATGATTGGGCCACTGCACTCCAGCCTGGGTGATAGAATAAGACCCTGTCTCCAAAAATAAAAATAAAAAGGGCGTGGACAGTTTGTAAGCAGTTACTGCTGTGTCAAAACCTGGATGGATAGGTCGTGTGCTTCACCATGACTTAGATGTAACCTATCCCTTAATTATTGGGCAGTTGCACTGTATTCTAGAAAATACTTTTCCTTGATGAGGTCCTTCAAGTTGAGCTGTCCTTAGCCCATCATACTTGGTGCTAATATCAGGTGGTCACTGTCGTTGGCACAGGACAGGAATAGCTCTAAACGCTATTTTCAGTTCTTTTTTTACCAGCTGTTGGAAACTTTGGCATTGAGTAATGAAGCCATTTCAAGGACGCTTTAAAAGGCCAACCTTCTGAAGATGTATTTCCACATGTTGCTTAAGAATATAAATATATTGATTTCTTATGTATTAATGACCAGCAGTGTCATTTAATGGGTTGGGATAAACCTTGCAAACCTAGAGCGTCCAGACCTAACGTTGTGAATAGAACATCACAGTAAACAGTGCTGGAGTTTGCTGTAGACCCTCCATTTAAGCTTGTGTTTTTATCTGTCAAGTACATTTCACTTATTTCTTGTGGTCAGAGAGCTTTGTTAACTCTTATGCTGCCAAAACAGTCAGGTTCAGGGGAAATGTTTGTATCCACACTGGTATCCAAAGACTGTGTCTTTGAATTGAAAGGTTCTTTTTGCCATCTCGAGTGTGATAACAAAACAAGCAACTGAAAGTAATGACTTTTCCACATCTGTGTAGCGAGCAAATTGTTTTCCAGTTGTTTTGCCAGGTATAGGGACTTAAATTAACCAAAACAATTTTCTCATGCAAATTAAAAGTCTGGATCCTAAAAGCAAATACAGACTTCCACAATATTTATAGTATCTTGTTCATGGTCTTTTTACATAAAAGGTTCTGAAAGAAATGGTTTGACATATGTAAATAGAAACCTTTCCTGGAAACTGTATACAGGGTTCTACCCTAGCCACATATGTTTTATTCATTTTCAGTGGAAATGGCTATTTCGTGTCTTCTGTATATGCTATTGTTAAGTATCTGCTTGGTTATGTCCCCCTGGGAAGGTATTTGATTGGTTTTGTCCTAATTAATATTCTTGTGAAAGGATAGCTTGCCTTTAGTAAGCTTTTAGGTAATGTTGATGACACTGGCCTGGGGACCACCTTTGGAGAGCCACTGCTCTGATGAAGCCTGGAATGAGTCATTTCTAAAGCCAGCCCCCTTCAGGTCATCTCCCGTGAGCCTATGACACAGGGGTTGGGACATTTTCCCTATAAAGAGCCAGAGGTGATCGTTTAGGCTTTGTGTACCATTCTGTCTCTGCAGCAGCTTCCCACCTCTGCCGTTGTAACAAGCACCAAAGCAGCTAGAGATGATACCCACACAGATGAGCATGGCCATGTTGCAGTCATATTACCCAAAACAGGCGATTGGCCAGATTTGGTTCTCTAGCTGTAGTTTGCCACCCGCTAGATGAATATATCAGATGTGCCTCACCCTTAAATAGGAACCTTGAATTGTTCCTTTAGTAGATATCTTTGCTTACCTCTGGTTTTTATTAGCCCAGTTACAGAATTTCCAATTGGTGGCCAATACCTTTTTCTCATAGCTTTTTATTTTAAATATGCAGAGTCTGTTTTCCTTTTTCTCACTCTGTTACAAGTTAATGGGTCTATAAGATAATGAGATATATAATCATATGTTGTAATGACATCAGCATACTTTGAAAATTAAATTTAGAAATTCATTTCTGAAAGCATGATTAACTCACATAGTTTTACTAGATCCTACTAAATAAGCAAAAGCTATAGACAGAATTCAGCTTAATCATCTTTTAAAATTTGAGTTCACCAAGTGGTGTCCATCATTTGGAAGCAGTAGGCAGGGTTTCTCAGCCTTGGCACTGCTGACATTTTGGATGAGGTAATTCTTTGTTATGGGAGGCTGTCCTGTGCATTTAAAGAAGTTTAATAGCATCTCTGGCCTCTACCCACTAGGTGCCAGTAGTACCCCTCTAGCTGTAACAACCAAAAATGTCTTCAATCAGTGCCAAATGTCCCTTGCTGGGTGAAATCCTCGTTGGAGAATCACTGCAATAGAGAATTTAAGCAAAGGAAAGATGGATTGATTTCTGTTTTAGGTCCTGGCCCTGGCTTATAGACCTACACATCAGAACTCCTCTCTGTGCTTAATCTTCTTCCCATACATATATCTATAATTTTTATTTATATATATAAAACACTAAAAATCTCTTATCTTCTAGGGCCCTGTTATCTGCATTAGTAGGGGTTTCTATGTGAATTTTTGGGGAGGCATATGGTGTGTAAGTAAGTACACAATGCTAAGTTTTTTACTTAACAATGACTTGCCATTCTCTTTTTTAAAAATCTGTTGTTTGGTTTTCTTTTTCTTGGATGCTTTCTTTCTTTCACTTTTTCATTTTTATTTTATGTGCTGCTTCATCTTTCTTTAGAAGGTAGAACAACTGTTTCTTCTGGTATATCAATTTTCCATCTAGATATACTAAAAGACCTGATTTGAAAAGCCCTTGCTTTATAGCTCTGCCTTGAAAAACCTATCCAACTCAGTGTTTCAGTATTGCTCTTTTGAAATACAGGTGCCAGAGTAGGTCATCGCTCCTTGATGAGATACTACAAACAGCGATTTGGCTTGTCAAGAGCTGTGGCAGTTGCTAAAAATCGGAAGGCCGTGGGCCGAGTACTTCAGCAGTACAGAGCCCTGGGATGGACTGGCAGCACAGGTACGTTGATGTTTACAACTGCAGACAGTCTAAGAACTTGTATTTCTAGAAGGGGTCTGGGGAAAGGTGTTTCCATTTATGTTGTCCTGTGGATTCTCTGTAGGGGAAACTTAACCTCTTGGCTCCAGGGACTTCTGTTACCACTTGATATGTTTGAGGCAATAAGCCCAAAGCTCTATGACTTAAAAATTTCATATTCCTGGCACAGTAATTTTAAATACCATTAACTTTTTCAGAAGGTAATAGTTACAAAAATAATTATTTAGTAATCACCAAAGGTTGAAATTATCCTGGAGGCTATGCAGAGGAATTAGATAGTATCTTAGTGGTTAATAGCTTGAGCTGTGGAGTCAAACGTGACTTATGTGATGTACTTAGAGGTTCTTATATGATGAGCATGAGTAATTTAATTAATATAAGCTTCTGTTTCCTCAGTTATAAAACAGATAATAATAAGACCTACCTCTTAGAGTTGAGTGGGCTGAATGCCATGCATGTGTGATGTAATGCATGCCCGTAGTCAAGGTTAGCTATCGGTCCCCTTTTTTATAATGTTTCCCATTGAAAATTTAGTAAGAGTCAGAAGAGTCAAGAATGCCACTGCAATTACTGAGCTTTGAAACCTCATCAATATGCTACTTTTAAAATCTTTTCTCATGTGTCTAATCAGCTGGATGAAGCTGATTATCCTTAGATCTTCAGGGAAAACACCTCTCCAACCAGAGGACTGTGGAGTAGATAAGAGGAGGGCTGCCTTCCGATGGCCTGGAAAGCTCTAGGCAACTAAAATGCATTTTAAATGCCGCTCTGTTTATATGTGATTTCTGTCACTGTGGCTGCCTGTGAGCTGTGTGGCCACTTGAATCTGGCAGAGATTTGACTTCATCTTACTCTTATCAGGAAGTATTTTCTGACTTGATTTACAGTTTCTGCCTTTCTGATTAATGGGGCTTCACCTTTTGGGCTTATAGACCCTTCCAGGTGATGAAAACTAAAGATGCTAATCCCAGAGAAATGTATATATACGAAAGTTCTGGCATGCAATTCTGGGGCCCACAGAGACCCCTGAGGCCCATTGCTTAGACACCCCAAGTTAGCAACTCTGTTTTAAATACAAGAACCCAGTTACTTCAAACTAACCTTTTGAATTCTCTGCCAAGGTTGGATTTTCTCTGATCACAAATAACAGACCTTTGTCTAATTTCTTAATCCCCTTCTAACCATAGGAGCGGCTCTTGTGCGAGAGCGAGACATGCAATATGTGCAAAGGATGAAATCAAAATGGATGCTGAAGACAGGAATGAAGAACAATGCCACCAAGCAGATGCACTTTCGGGTCCAAGTGAGATTCTGAGAGTCTGCTGGGACTGAGCAATCGTCTCCTGCCCGGGGTTTCCTCTTTGCCCTGAGGACCAGTGAAAGCCAAATCATATGAGAGACCCTTTTGCTGCTACTTCATTCGTTCTAACCTAATAATAAAAGTTAGAATCTTATGTGTTTTCAGATGTCATTTTTGAATAGTGCTTAAAGGTTATGTTTTCACAAGGTAAGTCTTGTGTCTACTGGACCCTGGGATGTGCACTGCTGCCTGACAGTTGCTTCATCGCCCCAGCTTTAAATGACTTACGGTTGTCAGAATAATGTGAGAAATCAGAAGTGATTTGTGTGCCCCAAACTTAGTTTAACTTTCAGAGTAACTCACCATGTCATGACACTGGGACCTATGTAAGGGGGCTTGAAGGCTCATGTAGGGGCAAAGTTTAATGTCACTCATCGAGTGTATCGTGGCACAGGAGGTGGTGAATATCTCTGGGCACTCGCATTAAATCCAGGCTGAGTTAAAGAGCACATGAAGAGCTTGCCACAAAGGCTTTCTCTTTCTAAACATGAATGCATCGCGTGATTGCTGTGTGCTCTGATGTAGTTTCCAGTGGCCCAGTTAGTTTAGGAGGAAAGTAAAGGTAAAATGTTTAGGTATCATTTTAGAAAGGCTACCTCAGGGTCAAATCTGGAGAAATTCTCAGTTTAGGTGGCTTAGGGGAAGGCACTAATATGTTGAAAATGAAGCTAAACATGAAGTTCAAATTCGTTTAGTTATCTTTGTGACCTTGGAAAAGTGACTTGGCTTTTTAAATCTGTAAAGTAGAGGTGTTTATTATGTCACAGGTTGTTGGGGTTAAATAAATCTGCTAAAGGACCCATCACTCGTTGAGCCCCCAGCACAGAATTAGTGCTTAAAGTTCTCTTTTACGAGGAAACGTGCCACACTGAGTGAGGCATGGCGAGTGCAGTATTCTGAGTAGTGAGTTCAAGCCTGCCGGGAGAATGTGGCTGCCCTCACCATGCGTTAACCAGACCTCATTTGCTAGACATAAGTCTTTTTCTTTAAACTTTGGATGCAGAGTGGAATTAATTATATCTCATTAGTGCCCAGGTTCACTATTGTCCAACAATGAGAGCTCCTTGGTTTTGATTTTGCGCCATCATCCTGTTTTCTGCCATTCTCCCCACAGAAAGACCTAATCTGCTGTGTTTGCCACATCTTTCAATCTATATCCTGAGAAAATGGTGTAGTGCTTTTCATGTGGTGTGTTTTTAATTTATATTTATGTCACCTTTTAATTTGTCATCTCTTTTGCCTGGTGGGGGGCATGGAAGGCAATGAAAACAACATGTTTACTGATGTAAAATACTAATACTATATTTATTTCATTTTTGAGATAGGGTCTTGCTCTGTTGCCCAGGCTGGATGCAGTGGAGCGATCACTGCTTACTACAGCCTTGACCCCCTGGGCTAAAGTGACCTTCCTTCCTCAGCCTCCCCAGTAGTTGGGATTACAGGTCTGTGCCACCACGCCTGGCTAATTTTTTTTTTTTTTTGGAGAGAGAGAGAGAGTCTCACTATGTTGCCCAGGCTGTTCTTGAACTCCTGGGCTGAAGCAATCCTCATGCCTGAGCTTCCCAAAGTGCTAGGATTTACAGGCATGAGCTACCACACCCAGCCTCTTCATTTATTTAGCTACTTCTTTCAGGCTTCAAGAGACACCTTAGCTTTGATTTTGGGTTTGTGGAACAATCCATTGTCTCACTTCTATCCACACTGTAATTTTAGAAAATTAAATTTATTTGTTTTTCTAGAGTAGAATTCTCTTTGCAGGATGGGAGGGGGGGCGTGGCAAACAAAAAACCTTATCTCCTGATAGTGAAGTGACAAGACAAGGAATATGACAAATGCTCTTGTTATTTTGCGGGAGCCTCTTGGTGGTACAAGAAAGTGTGGAGATGTCTTTGATATTTTATTTGCTTGTCATTCCTTTGGGTGGGTTTATCTTTCTTTCTCTGGGTACACCCTGTTCCCCACTCCCTGTTTTCTGTATTAGGATTCCTTGGGCTTCCTGGTCCATTGACACATAGTCATTTACTATCAGTTCACCCTGTTTTGGTGTTTTCACAACGACATGTCCCTTTTCGGGTATCTTATGCCTATCACACTGGAGAAATGAACACGTGTGGGCAAAACCTGCCAAACAAAGATACAAGTATAAAGCCTAGCGAATGCTTCCATTCTCACATTTCCCTACCCTCACTGTGGTATTGACATAATGCTTTTGTTCCTCCATTTTTTAAAACACTTTTGTGGCTGCATAGGAGGTGTATATGCTACTGGGGTACATGAGATGTTTTGATACAGGCATGACATTGTTTTTCTAAATTTTTATTCTTCACATTTCTATAAACATATTTAATCCAATCTGTATGAATATACACCCCTCATCCTGCCACAGCACCTATTGTTCGTAAAACAGCTGTCTAAACGGATGCCACAGTCGTCATGTTAAAGGTCTTCATCAGTACCAAGCCAGCGCTGGCTGCTGCAGAGCGATTCATGTGGAGTCTTTCCTCCTGGGAGGCATCACAGGACCAGATGGTGCTGGGAAGTGTTTGTGTCTTTAGCTTGACTGGGATCAAATGTGAGAGAACGTAAAGTGAGAACATAATCTTGTCCCTTTCCATGCGTGTTACAGAAGCCCCTAGCTGCTTTGCTGCCTAAGGACTGGACAGTGTTAGTGTAAACTTTCTGCTTTGTGTAGCATGCATTTGCGTTTTGCTGAGCTTAAAGTGCTGTTTTATGATTCTCCACTGTGGGGTATAGATAGTATTCCTATTTTGCAGATGAGGAAATATGCTCAGAGGAGTTCAGCAACTTTTTAAAGGAGACCCAAAAGGAAGCCAGAGATGACGATTTCTTCTCTTGCATTCTTTTTTCTTTTTCTTTTTCTTTTTTTGGTTTTTAAAAATGTTTATTTTATGTACAAAGAACTATCATGGTTTTTCATGGTAGATGTCTTAGATGATCCTTTAGTCCAACTTAATGAAACCTATATCCTTCGCGTACTGACGGAAACACTGGCGGCACATATTAAGACCGTATTTCCGGATCAAACCGTGCCGGTTTGAACAGACTCGACAAGAGCGAGAACCCTGGCCAAACTTTCGCGGGTGGCTCCAGTACAGCTGCTGGTGACCCATCTTGCTCTCAGAAAGGCAACGAGGTAAAAGCTTTTTTTTTTTTTTTTTTTTTTTTTGAGACAGAGTCTCACTCGATTGCCCAGGCAGCCTCAGATTCCTCATCTTTAAAACGAGGCTCATTGCCAATCCTTTCCAGGGTCATCACAGGCTTTCCAAAAAATATGTGATAAGGTGCCTAACAGGTGGTGACACAAGAGGATGTCTGAGGAAGTGTAGCTTTTATTTCAGTTAGACTAATGGCCAGGGAGGAAGGAAAGGGGCCACAACCAGCAAAAAAGGAAGGAGAAGAGAGCCACCAAGGACAGATCCACAAACTTCAGCTGAAAGCCTTTCAAGCCAGAGCGCAGAGACTCATATATTTGGAGTTTTAGGAATTTTATGGCGTGCATATACCGTAGATAATGTCAGGCTGCCGTAAGACCTGGAGGACCATCTGATAAACATTTATATTTCTAGAGAGGGATATATTCCATTCATACTAAGGCCTAGAAATAGCCTTCTGTCTGGACAGGTTTTGATGCCAAAGGATTTACCAAAAATGTTTCAGTGTTCAGAGCTCTGGGATTTGGGACTCTAGGTGAGGGACTGTGGACCTTATTGAGCTTCTGTGCCGGCACCAAGCTAGGGATTGTGCCCACATGCTTTCATTTCATCCTTCCAACTTTCTGAGCAAGAAGCAGACATCTAGAGATCTAGAAACATCTTTGCTTAGCATTTGCCCTGCAATCAACTTTAGAGGACCCCAGGGTTGGAGCAGTGGCCTCTAGCTTTCTGACTATGGCTGTTGCCTGTAATTTAAAGTTCTAATGTTCATTTTGTTTGAAGAGGGATGGAGACGGTGTTAGATGTACGGAATGTGTGTGTGTTTCAAGATGAACCCCACAGCATCAACAAACATCTCAATGAAGGTACAGAGAGTTTGTATTTAACTTGTTGAAAATCCACTTAGCCATGAGCCTAATTTCCTGAAGAATAAATGTAAGGTGAGATAATATGTTTTGGATGCCAATAAGATCCATTACCTACTACGTTTATAGGGATAGAAACTGAACAAACGGCAACATTTTGAAATCTGCCAAAAAGTGCCCCAACTGATTGTTTTCATATTTCTAATCTCCAACTTACAGAATTTCACAGAGAAACAAGCCTAAAGTTGCCTGCAGGTAAGTCCTGGCTATGAATTAATGTTGAACAACATGAAAAGATTACAGGTACTTGGAAATAAACTACTGAAGAATTCGTCAGAATTTCAAATTATGCAAGTATTATGACAGTACTTGAGAATCTCAAAATCGTTTCAACTATCAGTTTCCGTGGGATTTTATAATAATTTGCAGCTTCAACCACAATGATTTTTTTTCTAACTCTACCAACACAATTATTCTGACTTTATAGGAAATAAATTACATTTATTTGGACGTCGATGCATGTCACATACATTAATAGGTATTTTGTTGATTCCAATCTAAATACTTATATATTTCAAAATTGTAACCTCTTTAAGTTTGTCACTGTCACAAACTTGACTTCATGGTACTTTAAATATCCTCTCCCCAGCCAAAAAGCAGAAAATGTTATTTGTTAAAAGGCAGGGAAGTAGAAAAATAACTTTTTATAGCACCTGTATCCAGTTAAGTAGATATGGCTGCTCTAGTGAGTTGAGAGGACTTGGTGTTTCTTTTTTTCCTTTTTCCCCTTCCCCCTTCCCTCTTTCCCCTTTCTCTTTTCGCTTTTCCCTCCTCCCCTCCCCTCCCCTTCCCTCCCCTTCCTTTGTTTTCTTCATTCTTTCCTTCCTCTTTCTTGTTACTTTACCCTTCAAAAGTGGATTTTAAAGTTTATATACAATAAATCACTGCTACTTTATTGCCTTTATCATCTAGAATTCCTTAGGAACAACAATTACAATTGCAACAATTAGTTGAACCCAGGGCTTCTCCCAGGATTCCTGGTAACTAGGTTG